TTCAGTCTTTTAAAAGCACTAAAAGGATTAAAGACACTAAAAGAACTAAAGGCACTAAAGGGACTAAAGCCACTTAAGGGACTGAAAGCACTAAAGGGACTAAAAGCACTAAAGGCACTAAAAGGACTAAAGGGGCTAAAGGGACTAAAAGGACTAAAGGTACTAAAGGGACTAAAAGGACTAAAAAGACTAAAAGAACTAAAAGGACTAAAAGGACTAAAAGGACTAAAGGAACTAAAAGGACTAAAGGTACTAAAAGGACTAAAGGTACTAAAGGGACTAAAAGGACTAAGAGCACTAAAGGGACTACAAGGACTAAAGACACTAAAAGGACTAAAGGGACTAAAGGCAGTAAAGGGACTAAAAGGACTAAAGGCACTAAAAGACTGAATATCATTTATAAAAAAGTAAAACAGGATAACTTTTATTTTTCGTGGACCTATGGTTTGATTAATTAAAAATGCGAATTCACATAAATATTTTTTTTCTAAAAAAAATGTACTTACTTTTGGAGGGATTAATACTTCATAGTGTCATTTTATTATATCTTGTCATACATATTGCAATAAATAAATTGTACTCAAGATCTTAGTTGATAAATTCATTGTTGCCGACTTATTTTATTTTTCTGACACATAATCAATGAGTTTAGTCTAAAACTGAAATATATTAATACATTATATGTCTTTAAAACGTACCATAATTCTTGTTATCTTAGTAAAAAGATGAAGACTAATTACTAACTGTTATCTTAATTTATAATAGTTGAATAGTCAGAAGTATTTTCTATATAATGATCTTTTAAAAATAGCTAAATTACAATGTGCAGAAAATTACACATGAGACAAAAAAAAAATATTTTTATTATACGAAGAAACAAACTTTTTGTTTTATAAATAAATTTAAATAAATATTCTATTCAAAATACTTTAGAATCTGTGTGTTATAACAATTAACTTCAATACATCAATAACAATGACGTGTCAGAATATTAGGTCAGACTTTGTTATTAGTTATGCATATTGAAGATGAAACATTATTTAGAAGTTAAATGTATTGATCAAAATTTATTTTTATCTTGACTTGTCTCAGGAATACAGTAGTTTTCTATTTGATTTAAAGATCACATTGTACGTTGAAAGTGGATAATCAATGTATCATTTAGTAAGGCATAGTCTTTGTCTTGAATAATTGTGATTGTGTTGAGAAAAAGTTTAACATAAACATAGTTGTTGATAATCTTTACAATCGAGTGTTGTATCTTGAATTGAGAATAGAACAAATAAAACTATCTTTTGATCTATGACTTTGTAAAATTCACATAGTGTCGTTTATAACAAATCTGCAACGAACAAAAAAAAACCAAACTTTCGTATTTTATAGTTTTTCTACGAGCATCAATTATCATTCAAAAAATATATTTTACTTCATTTCAGTTATTTGTTAATATTACTTCTGATTATCTTCTGGGAATCATAATATCATATCTATTATTATTGTAATAATGTTTTCTTTTTTTTTGACTAGTTGCCTTTGGATTATATCTTATTCATTTATCCTCTATAATTTATTTCCTTTTTTTTCTCTAATTATGCTGCTCAATTATTTTGCTGACTATATGCATTTGTTATGAAGCATAATTAATTGCATTGCACCGGATGTTCCAAAAGTCTCTTCCTAAAAGTTTTTTCGTTTCACTTCACTATTGACGGGGTTTCATTGCGTAAGCTTTTTACGGGTAATAGAAAAATACACAGAGTTTCTACTTTTAAAAATAAAATTCAAAAGCTAAGAACTTCACCCAAAATACAAAACTTTAACCTATTTTATTTTTCTAAAAAAACATTATATATCATTCGGGTAATCCCATTAGAAATCAACCAGAAAAAATACAGAATATTCAGAATTTTTCTTTCATATCAAATTTTGTAGAGCTTTTTACGCTGATCATTTTCGTAAGAAGACTTTCTGAATTTTATTGAATAATGACAATGTTATAGTCAAAATACTAAACACTGTAAAACAGCTCAAAATGCGATTTTTATAGTGTTTAATATTTTGATTATAACATCGTCATTATTCAATTAAATTCGGAAAGTCTTTTTACGAAAATGATCAGCGTAAAAAGTTCTACAAAGTTTAATATGAAAGAAAAATTCTGAATACTCTGTGCTTTTCTAGTTGGCTTTGCATGAAATTACCCATTTCTTTTTTAATTACTTCGAGTTGTCGGGTGATTAAGATCTTTAAATTGCCAAATACTTGAACGATCTTTTTTACAGAATTTTGTTTTGATACGTCTTTACAAAAACGAAATGAGTAGTACGAAATCAAAACTCAAGCGATTAAAATACACACCATCCATGAGTATTTCTGGAAAGAGAAAACAGGCTAAAATTTTCTATTTTGGCTGAAGGTCTTAGCTTTTAGCAATGCTTTTGAATTTTGTCTTTGCAAATAAAAAGTCTGTGCATTTTTCTATTATTCATAAAAAGCTTATTCAATGAAATCCAGTGAATAGTGAAATGAAACGGAAAAACTTTTAGGAAAGGACTTTTGGGACAACCGGTATTTGCATATTAGAATTGTTCTACGGGGTCTAAGCATGAATTTTCGACTTAAATTAAATCTTTATTTGTCTCGCTTATTGAATGATTGTGCATGTTATATTCGTCAGATAATTGTACTTAAAAAGTAGCTACCATTTGTCTCCACCAAGTCTTAATTTATATTGAGATATATATTTCATAAAAAGAAATTTCTCAAAGTATTGTTTTACGCATTCACAAAACAGATTTTTGTTTTCTTTCTAAAAATAAAAACAAATATTGATTCAACTTACGATTCTTTCTAATCTAATCAAATATTCGGCAAATATTATCATTTCACAATCCTAACTGGATTTTGTAGATCGATAATAGTTCTTGGAGTTCCCATGTGATTTAAACTTGACTAAAACCATTGGTAAACCGTTGGGTATAATGTATGCTATACCGTCAGAATTCGCCGATAGTGACAAACAACCACCAGTATATCGACAATTAACTGGTGATAGTCTCATCCATAAACAGTCGGCTATCATGTGACGGCCATCTCGATATCAGTCTATTAGCGATAGTAGAAAAAAACATGCCACATGAGTTTTGTGTATAATTCTTACTAAGCTTGTAAGAAAAACATCGTTTATTTTGTGTTCACTAAGATTTTTTTTATATGAAACTAAACTTCAAATCTCTAAAAAAAGTCATTTGAAAATCCAATTTTCAGATATAATCATCCCGATTTCTATTTATCTTTACAAGAAAGTATAATTTACAATTGATTATTACAAAAGTAGGTCTCTTTTTTCAATTTTTGTTTCTGTTCAGTAGTAACTCTACGTGTCTGTAAAACACAACATGTTTTTGATTCAAAGATACAATCAATAAATGTTTTGAGGTATATTAGAAATTTTATTCTATTTTGATTCATAACTTTGAAATGATTTAGAGTATTGAAGTGTTTCTTTCAATAATTTTGAAACGCACGGTTCCTTATCTCAATTCAAAAGACACTTTTATCAAGAACATATTTATTCACATGATTACATTTAACAAATTTCCGATGTTTTTCAGCTATTTTTGAATATGAATTCATAAGCATCTGTTTTACACATTTTAAATTCTTGCTATTTTTCAGAGATTTTTATTAACGTGGTTGATGCCTTTAGAGAGTATTCTTACATTACTCATGGCACATTGAATTTATTTCAAAAAGTTCCGGATGTTATTTTTTTTAGAAGAAAAGAAAGCATTCTAACGTAAATGCTAAATTAGATGCCACTGTCAAAATGTTTTTATTTTTATTTTTCAAAATAAAATCCAATTCCATTCCAACATTTCTTTCATAACTTGTTTTTCTCTATTCTCTATTATTATTATAGACTCATTGAAAACAAAAGAAAGTTTTTTTTTCTATAAACAAGAAGCCTATTGATATCTTTATATTCGTTGAAAATGAAACAATGAACATGGATCAAAAACAAACAAGGTTTTGAGTAATCTTCCAAAAACAAAAGAAAACATTTCTCCTCTGAACTTATCCGAACTGTCTAACTGAAGTCTGTGTGAAAAAAAATTAACAAATATAAGAGCACTAGAAAAAGAAAATTATATCAAAATTTCGGAGGAGCATAATTCATGCTTAAAGACGACAGACATAAACATAAGAATGTGAGTTTTCATGCAAAACTCAATATGCATTGTAATGTGTTAACAATTATAACTCAAAAAATAGTTATATTCTATGTTATTCATAGTCTTATCTTATGAATCGTTCATTGAATTATCATTAGCCCAAGATGGTGGTGAAAACTCTTGAACCATTTGCCATACAATAGCTACAACAATGACAAAATATTTTTAAATATATATATCAGTGAAATAATCGTTATCGGCATCTAATCGTTCGTAATTTTTTTTATAGAGAAAAAGCTTCTAATTGAAATACATGTAAGACGTCCTTATTTGAACGATTCTCTTACTAGAATCCTGATAGACGCTGCGGTTCGTGAACAGTAGAATACTAATTATTCTAATAATATATATATATTTGTATTTTTTGGTTATCAACAATATGCATAGATGATTTTTTTTCATTGTATTTTCATTTGCCAGGATTCTGCGATGCATGGCTGTTTTCTATTCTTAAATTTTTTATCAATCCATTTTATCAAAATAAAAATGATGATTTCTGAGTACAATAAATCATAACAAACGAAGTTTGTATTTCAATGACTTACATTTCCATTGTTCTTTGCTATACACTGCGTCTTGATGTTCGTCAATCATAGGTTCTATAGTTGGTTCATCTGTAGGATCGTGATAAAACTGCAAAAATGGATGACCTACACAACACATATGATACAGAGAATATTTAATGTGTAATTATATTATCAAAATTTACTTAAAGCTAGTTCAACAGTCGGACGCCGACGAGGATCAAAAGATAGAAGATGATCGAGAAAATCAATACCTATACTCAAATAAAGTAAATGAAATTCATTTATTCCTTCGGCTCTCTCCTCTTGTTCTAAATTTACCTTCTCGTGAAACACCAGATATTGTTTTTTGTGTTAATGGATCATATTTAAAACCAAACAATTCATTGAAATTTCTTTTGGTTTTAGGTTTCATTCGACTAATATAAGCAGTTGCTTCTAAAATATTTTGCATAAAGTATTTCTTATATTTTATATTTGAAATGTGAATTTCATTCGTCTTTTTTTTTATAACAAACCTGGTGTACATAACTCTTGTAATGTTGCAAGATCCGGTGTATCAATAATTTCAAACATTTTATTTAACTGATCAATTGTATTATATCCCTGAAAAAGTGGTTTACTTAGAATTATTTCAGCCATTATACATCCAACAGACCAAATATCAACTTTTTCATCATATTTATTCTCATTGAGATATAGTTCTGGTGCACACCACATTCTAACAAAAGATAAATTCCTTATAGAAATTTTAAAAATAAAAGAAGAACTTTGGACTTACTTGGTGATAAAACCATCAATGTCAGAACCAACCGGTGCAACACGAGCTATTCCAACATCAAGAATCTATTTTAAAATAAAAGAGATAATAATTACTAGAGAGCTCTTTTCAAAAACAACAAACTACTTGATACAGAAATGCAATTGAATTTAGAAATTGAGGACGACTAGAAGTGTTGAATATATCAACATTAATAGTTGAAAGTTTTTAATAATTTATTTTTCCGAATTGTTCTTTCTTTCAAAGTAGTTTAAATTCGAAAAAGGAGAAAATTGTAGTACAGAATACATTTTTTAAGAAATGAAGCACATATAACCAAGTCAATGAATACTGAAGATCGAATAATTTTAAAATTCTCGAATGTGTTTTTCACTCAACAAATAGATAATGATATAATTAATTTACATCTCTGAAGATATGTAAAGTAGAAAGATTTTCTTGTTTTTAGTTTGCCTTTTTTCTTTGTTTTTTTTTCGATATATATACCGTTGCATACTCTGTAAAAAAATATATTCTGTTGGTAGTATTCAACAATATAAACTATGAGGACATAATCTTAAGAAAGATGTCAACATATAATTGTAGAAGGTATTTTTAGAAAGAATATATCCAATATAGCAAACATTTTTTTTCTCTAAAAGCATATTCTACCTTGAACGCACATTGCAAAGCAGTTCTTTATTAAATCAATCGAAAATCAAACAGTGTGGTTTGACTACCAGTCATTTGAGACATAATATCAGTAGAAAGTCTTTTGTTCATTTGTGAAAAGTAATTTATGATCATTCTCTCTCTAAGCAACTAGTTTCTGCATCAGCTAAAACTCATCATTTTAGACATTCTCGTAAAAATACAAACTATTGAAATGAGTTTCATTTGTGTTCTACATCTTTATTCTATTACTTTACGCGCAATTTATTACAACAAGAAGTATCTTTTACTGAAGACAAAATTATCATTTCAAGAATGAAACTAATAGAGAGTGTACGGACTAAGCTCCTTGTACAAACCTTATGCGAAGCACATCCACAAACTGAACTCATTATTTATGAAGTTTTTAAAACTTTCGAATTAGTCAAAATGTTAACTGAAGCGGAAAAAGCATGTTTCTAGGTTTGTACAAAGTAGAATAACGAGTTCAATGCACGCTTAATTATACACACAACAATTCGATTATTAGGAAAAAAAAACAGGTTTTATGCTAATTGGAAATCAATGGGTATTGCATCAAAAACCTATGAATTTGAGACACGAGAGTTCTTGGCTAAGTTTTCATTCGGTTTTTTCTTCGATCTCTTCTGATTCTCGATCAATAAGAGAAATAAGAGGCAGATATGAAGAAGAATTTATTTCGTATTAACGACATATATATGATGAGATTGCTTTAAAAGACTTCTAACAGACCTTACTCTATATAGCAAAATTTTCATGAGAATTTCTTGCTAATTGTTATTATATGTGGTACTTGATAAGCATAATTTATCACTTCTATGATTTAGATAAAACTGTGAAGCTATATTGATTAAGAAACCGAAGTCTGCCGTATCATCAAATCGATAGAAATTAGGAATTGTGATTCAACAGTGACTGAATTTTTATGAAATTATTTTCAACTGAATTTATGCTGTTGCAGACGATCATAGAAAGAAAATTCAACTCTACGAAATTGATCACATACAATCAACTGCTAAATTCTGTTTGAAAGCAAAGAACTTTGACGTGGTGTTTCTGTCTTATCAGTGGTAGACAGACATGTTTAGTTAACATTGTGAGGTCTTTAACATTGCTTAAAACTTTTATCAAAAAGAAAGTAATTTTATTTAACCATATTCAAGTTCAGTCATAACGATTTAGGTTTCGTTTAAAATACGAGATTGACAAATACATTTTCAATTTCAATTACTGATATAACCAAACAAAAAGCCAGATTTCTCACTTGAAAATGGTCATTTTGTGGAAGAATTCACATTTTAATAAAATTTGTTGAAGTCAATATAAAATCAATACAAGTTCGGGAGAAGGAGAATTTTGTGGAAAAATACCCATTCGAACAAAAGAAGTATACTAGACGATTACCAAGTGAAATGCTTTTATATAATACTTACTGTAACATTGCTATTTTGATCAACTCCAATATTTGTTGGTTTTAAATCCTATTTAAAAAAACAAAAAAAAAAGCAATTTTTAACATGGAAAAATGCTTTGGTTTGCACGTACCCGAACAATAATACCAGCTGAATGAATAAACTAAATAAGAAAGAAAAAAAAATAATATTGCATTGAATAGATATTGAAAGTAACTTTATAATACCTTCAAACCACGAAGCAGTGAATAGATAATTAGTTGAATAAGTTCCTCTGTGATTGGTTCATAACATGCTATGACACGATGCAAATCATAGTCAACAAAATTCAATACCAAGTATCTGTCGAAAAAGACACAAACGACTAAAAATCTTCATCAAACAAAAGTATTTTTATAACATACAATGTATGAAAATCTTTTACATTTTGTTCAGGTGTAAACACATTATACAATTGTGTAACCTAAAGTACGAAAAATACACACTGCTTTTAACGAATCAAAAACAATCATTTCTACAAACTTGTGCATCAGGATGGTTGAGATAAATGAGTAGTTTAAGTTCTAGATAGGTTCGTTTTGCATATATGTGAGTTTGAAATGGGTGAAGAAATTTTTTAATAGTTACATATTTACCAGTGGTCTAAAATACAATATAGTTTTATTTATTTTCTTAACCATGTTCATAATGATACATACAGTATCTGTGGCATGACTAAATAATAATTCAATAATTATGAAAAGAAAATATAATCATTATTTCTACTTACACTATACTAGCATAAGTTTTCTGTTCAATGAGTACTAAATTTTGATATCGTACAGGTAATGTAAATGTACAGTTACTACAAGAAGTTGTATACCATTCATTCTGTTTGGTACTATCCGAGTTCATATTTGTTTTTTCTAAATTAAAAAAACAACAATCTGTCAAGTATTCTATCATGTTGAAAATAGAGAAATAAAAGGTAGCTTATATATTTCGACGAGAACATAAGCAAGGTGAAAACGAACAGAATGAAGCGAAAAATCAAGGATGAGAGCTAGTTGTACAGCACAAAAGGAAAAAAACAACCAAAAACGACGTAATTATCCTACTCAATCGGATATATCCATGTGTGTTTACCATACAATCGTAAATTTGAAAAGAAAAAATAATTGATAAGTGGTGATTCTTTCACAGTTACCAATCGAACAAAAATGACTCAACATTTGTTCTTAATTGTGTTGATGATGTTGAATTCAACGGAGATAATGTTGATTTTTCTTGATAAAGATAATAAAATAACGACTTTTTCATCGGTATAACAAAGGTAGCTGTTTCTTTTTTGCTTTGTCTATTTCGAAAAATGAATTGATACTGTTTCGTCGTGTGGAAAATGATGCACTTATGAGCATTGGAACGATATTATTTCTCTTATTTATTAAGTGTACTGTATTAAGATGTCAATTGAAAACGTAATCAAATCAGATAAAAAGTAGATAAAAGGCCCAAGACACATGATACACAAGGTCGTTTTTTATGCTTTTTCTTCTTGACTTTTCTGTCATACAGACACGACCGATTGAGAGTAGAGCAGTGCGAAAAAAGAGCGAAAAAGAAAATAACCATGACCTCACTCATAAATACATACCTGTTTTTTTCTTCTTCTATTATCAATCATTACATATTAATCAGTTCTACAGTAGCGAGATTTCAAAAGAAAAGATTTCGTTGAATGTTTGTTCATAGAAAAAAAAAAAAATTAATATGGCGATGTTAATGAAAAATATAATAGCAATAATGATAATGCGACATAAAAGATTGCATTGAAGAAGTTGGCGACATAGTATTTTGTGGCGTTATCAAAAAAAAGTTGTAGTGAAGGGTTCCGCACTCTGATCATGTCTGCAGAGGTATGGAGACTCTCTAGTTTCCGTCTAATTTACAAGTTATGTATTCAGAATAAAATCACGAACAAAACTTGCTTTCAAGGAACGTATACAATAAAGAGATTGCAGCGTAAGTAGTTGATAACATGAAACGGAGTGATGATACTGGATTGTGAGAACAATAAAATTTGATAATTATTGATTTGTAAGAAAACATGTCAATAGTATATTGAATGGACTATTCGAAGTAAATATCTGATTAAAATAAGCAAAGACATGAGCTTTTTTTCCAGAGTAATAGTTTTTATTTTGTTAGAATAGTCATAGACAACTTCATAATTTATCTAACGATTCTTACACACATGTTTTATTATACAGTACGGGTCAAAATTATAAGAGTACTTCACATCTGTTCTTTTATTTCTAATTACTTTTCTGATACATTACATTTTCTTCGCAGTTTAATTGTACTATATAGAGTCAGATATGCTCTTTCAGAATATGATGAGAAAAGTTTATTATTTGATATATTTATCGGAACAAAAAGCTTTCAAGAAAAATCAAATAAATTTTGCTAACCAGAATCAGAAGATCATTAGAAATAGTTTTACTTTTTTCTTTCTTGCTCTAGATCACTCATTGATCAGAGATTATATGAATGAAACTGAACCGGCTGTAATATTAGTTAACTCGTTTTAAATATTTCTCGTCTGATATTTTCTTTAATTAGTACTTTACTTTTGTAACTAGTGGTCACGAGCAATGCCAAAGTATCTTTATAGAAGAAAACTGAAACAAAAAATTTATTGAACGCCTGATTTAGTCAGCGTCATGTTGCTAAGACACTTGGTATTTCAAGCACATGCATTTCAGGTGTAGCAAAAAAATTAAAACAAATTTACCTTTATCGAAATCATCTGGCCTAGGACGTAAAACAGTATTAACAATAAGTGATGAGCAAAATAGATTATATTTATGTAAACAAGATCAAACGAAAACCACCCAGGAATTATCATTCAAACTAGAGCGTTTAAATGGTAAACACTTAAGTGTTCGGACAATTCGTCACAGTCTTTTCGATGTAGAGTACGAAAGTTATAGAGCAAAACAAAAACCATATCGAAAATCTACACGAAAAAAAAAATTAAGATAATTGAAGAAGTCTTACCAATATTTATCGAACATACATTTGATTTATCAAACGAAGAATCAACGTTCATGCAAAACAATACACGACTACACAGATTGCAACATTCCATGAAATCATTTTAAAATAACTATATAAATGTACGAAAATGACAAGCTACAAATCTTGACCTTAACCCCAAAGAAAATTTATCGGGATCATTTGGATAAAAATTTACGAAAACTGAAGTCCAAGAATCTTATACAATTACAGAAAGTGATTCAAGATATTTGACGTGGTGTGACATCTATGTATTGTCAACAATTACTCGATCGATTCCATGCCATATCGTATTAAACGGTGTACTAAATCTTGTGGCCGAGCACTTAAAAAGCCTTAACCAGAATACTCGAAAAAATATTCAAAAGAAATAAGGTAGTTTTACAATGTTGAACAGCAAAATTTACATGACTTGTCTTGAAAGTTCTTTGTTCTGATAAATATTTGAAATAATGAACTATTCTCATTATATTTTGAAACAACATATTTGACTCTATACAGAATAATAAATTCAAGAAGAAAATATAATATATCAGAAAAACTATTGAATTAAACAGACAATGTGTAAAGTGGTGTTATAGCTTTGTCCAGTACTATATAATCTTTAGACATTGTTAAATTCTTTCTATTTTTCCATGATTTTTCATTGAAGTGGTTGGATGTCATTATATAACATTCTGACATTACGCACAATGAATTGTAGTTATTTCAAAAAGTTCCGGAAATTCTTTTCAGAAAAAAAACATTCTAATGAAGATATTAGATTAGATGGCAGTGTCAACATGCTGCTTTTCTATTTTCAACAATAAACAATTCTATTCTACTCCAACATTACTTTCATAACTTTTTTTCATCTATTCTTTATTATTATAGACTGAGTCAAAATAAAAGCAAGTTTTTATATAAATAAAGTTCCTAATGCTATTTTTTTTGTATTCGTTGAATACGATACAATGAAGATGTTTCAAAATATGTACAAAGCTTCATCGATTGCTTGTCTAAGTTTATTGAAGCTTTCTAATTGAAGCCTGTATTAAAAAAAAATAAATTAATATAACAGAATATGAAAAAGGAAAATTTAAAAATTGCCGAAGTAGCACATTGCATGATTAAATACAACAGATATAAACATAAAAATTTATGTTTGCATGCCAAATTCAACATCCATGGTATTGTATCAATAATCATAATAACTCAAAAAATAGCTATATTCAATGTTATTCATAGTCTTATCTTATCAATCGTCCGTTGGATCATCATTAATCCAAGATGGTGGTGAAAACTCTTGAATCATTTGCCATACAATAGCTAAAAAAATAATAAAATATTTTAAAATGCACATCAGTAAAATAATCACTATCGACTTCTATTCGTTCTTGATGTTTTTTTTTACAGCAGAAAAAAATGTAATTAAAAGCGAAAATACAATGAGAAAAATCATCTACACAAACTGTTTATAACGAACAATATACATATTAATAAAAATTATATTCAACTATTTTTTATTCTTAAATTCTTTGTCAATCCATTTCATCAAAACAAAAATGATGACTTCTGAGTACAATAAACAATAACAACGAAGTTTCTATATAAATGACTTACATTTCCATTGCTCTTCAGTATATTCTGTATCTTGATGTTTGTCAATGATAGGTTGTATAGTTGGCTCCTTCATCGGGTCATGATACAATTCGAAGAACCGATGACCTTTACAACAAATACGATACAGAGAATAATTAACGTGTAATTATATTGTCAAAATTTACCTAAGGCTTCTTCAGCTGTCGGACGTCGACGAGGATCAAAAGATAGAAGACGATCGAGAAAATCAATACCTACACTCAAATAAAGTAAATGAAATTCATTTATTCCTTCGGCTCTCTCCTCTTGTTCTAAATTTACCTTCTGGTGAAACACCAGATATTGGTTTTTCTGTTAACGGATCATATTTAAAACCAAATAATTCATTAAAATCCTTTTTCGGTTTAAATTCCAATCGACCAATATAAGCAGATGATTCTAAAATATTTCGCATAAAGTATTGCTTACATATTAATATATTATTAAATTCAAAGTGAGATGAATTAATGATAATTAAAAAAGTATTCTTATTCAATATTAATGTCATTCGTTGTTATTTATACAAACCTGGTTTACATATCTCTCGTAATGTTGCGAAATCCGGTGTACCAATAATGTCAAATATTTTATTTAACTGATTATATGTAGTTTCTCCACAAAAAAGTGGTTTAAGTAGAATAAGTTCAGCCATTATACATCCAACAGACCAAATATCAACTTTTTTATCATATTTTTCCTCGTTAAGATATATTTCTGGTGCACGCCACCATCTAGCAATAAAACCAATTCTTTATAATAGTTTTGAAAATAAAAGAAGAATGTTTGGCATACCTGGTAGAAACATAACCAGTGGGAGTACCGGTTGATGCAGCACGAGCTAATCCAAAGTCAAGAATCTATTATAAAATCAACGAGATGACAATCAATAAAGAACTCTTTCAAAAAACAAAGCGTAGCAATGAAAGTGAATAAATATAAGAGAGTGATCTGCAGAGCAAATCATGGTAACTAATGGTTCTGTTTTCTTGAGTCCACTAAGTTCTATAATCTAATTAGAATCTATTATTCTAGTTTCAGTTATACACTTAATTTATTTTCATGAAAATAGTGTAACGACAAGTTGTTAAATTAAACAGTAGATTAAAATAAAGAGATAAATTATCAAAAATATTTTTCATATAGGAAACACTAGATTTATCGAATTGTTTTTTGAATACAACAGCACTCTTTCACATAATCAGAAAAATATAATTATGATAGAAAATGGCATATGATCAGACATAGAACGAAGAGGTAAAAGTGTGCGTGTAGTGATTACGAGCGAAGAGATGATCCATTTTCACATACTCTTACAAAAATCATGAGCTTCTGGTGTCATGTTTCAAGTTACACTAGGGAAAATAATGTTACATCATACATAAGCCAACATTTTTGACCTGGACTTGTCTGTGAGCCTGGTACAAAATGATATGAACAGATCAAGCTAGGCTGAAAACTCTGGTGAAAATTGAGAGCTACTAGAAGTTTCAAGCATATTAACATTGACAGTTGAAAGACTTGGATGACTCTCTTTCGGAAAGATTCTCAATTTCACAGTATTTTAAGTTGAAAAAAAAAACAGAAAATGGTGGTAGAGAACACATCGATACGTAATTAAGCACACATAAACAAAGAAATCGATACTGAAGATCAAATAATTTAAAAATTTTCTAATCTGATACGATTCGCTTACATTTATGATAACATGTAAAGAACAGATATTTTATTCGCATCAGTCTGCTTTGTTTTATATGTTTTCGATTTATCCTATTGTGCACATTATAAACAGATGATGTCTGTAGATGTTATTCGAGAATATATATTATGAGTGAATAATCTGACAAAAAATGTCAACATACATTTTGGACATATAAAATAAAGTATAAAATTATTTCGTCTGGAATTATATTTCACCCCAGACGCTTATCACCAAGCAGTTCTTGAACGATCGAATTGAAAATTAAACAGTTTCGTTAGATTATCGTTCATTTAAGAAATAAAATTACAAGGTATTGAAATGAAGTTCGTTTTTATTCTGCTAATTCATAATTCTATTGTTCTTCAATAATTTTTATTCCCTACAATAAAAATTCTTTTCGTTGACGAGAAAAGTAATATATCAAGAACGAAACTAGAGAGCTTGCAGGATAAGTCTGTGGTATAAACTCGGTTCAAAGCACATTCCCAAACTGAACACATTGCTAATGAGATTTGAAAACCTTTAAATTAGTCGGCATATCAACTTTAACGATGAAAACATGATTCAATATTAGATAAAAGAGAACAATGAGTTTAATGCATGCTTAATTATATACACGACAAATCGGTCATTAGGAAACAAACTGAATTTTGTGTTGATTAGAAATAAATAGATATTGTATTAAAGACCAATGAAATTTATAGTAGTCTGATAAATGAAAGTTTTTGACTAATTTTTTCATTGCTTGTTTTATTATTGCAGAGTCTCTCTGATGCTCTATCTATGATAGAAATAGAATTTAGAAATTAAGAAGCTCTTTCATGTGACGAAAACTTGGAAAGATGACAACTACATGTGATCTAATGGACACTCACTATTGCTGCTACAACTCGCTGTCATTATCTAATGGCTATTATTCTCGTTTTTTTTTCATTATCTCGTAAAAACTACAGTTCTCACTTGAAAACTGTCATTTTATCGAGTAAACTGAATACAAATGGAACTTCATATAGAAGTTTCGAGAATAAAAATTGACCATGTAGAAACATTGAACATTGTATTAACACATGAACAAAAATCGTACGACCCTACGATCTCTAGATTGTCGCAATGCAAAATAGAAATTTCGAGTTAAGCGTCGAAAAAACAACTCACGAATGACTTCTGTACAGTGCTTGGCACTGTAACAGAATTTGAGCAAGTGATCGTAAAAGAAGTACAAGTTCGAGAGCAGGTGATTTTTGAGAAAGAAAACCAACTCAAATAAAAAAATAACTTCTAATCGCAGCTTATTTGCGACCGGAATGTGAAAGTCACAAATGTTCTTGAGCTTCATTATACTGATAGAAAATAAGTCTATGGCTAAATCAGTAGCAAACTATAGCTGTTTTTCAAATAAAATCGATCTTTAGAATAGCAATCTCTCTTATTTAATAGCTAGATCGATAGTTTTCGGACAAAATATTTGTTCATTTTTGGTCCAGCTGAAAGTATTTCAGACGAGTCGAAATCTATTGACTAAAACCAGAATTTTGTGCTCTTTCTAAATATGGGCTTAGAAATTTTGTGTAAATTTCTGTTCGAGAGTAGTGAGGGAACCTTTGAAAGATCTAAACAATTAGTTTAGACGGGAATTTTTTCGCACTTTTTAATATTTTAACTAGTGAGATTTGAAACTAAAAGTTGAAACCTTTATTACTCTAACAGCTAGTAGAGCAAAGTCTGCCCTACAAAATGTACTATTTGAGTTTTTTTGGTCGTTAAGTAAGGCATCTCAATTTTCGTTTTTTCCTACACGCTCAGTTGTGAGAAATCGACCTTTTGACTAGAAGACGTTTTACACAAAAAGGAGCTTCTGACAAAATACATATAATTTCCTTTGTGTAAAAATCTACAACTTAATTCAATGTCATAATTTGTAAAGAAGTGTTCACTCTACGCTAAAGAACATATATGGGTTAGCAAAAAACCAGTTTATGCGTCGTCTAAATTAGTTTTTAAGGCCTTTCGAAGATTTTTTCACTGCTCTTGAACAAAAACAGATACAACATTTCTGGGTCCATATTCAGAAAGAGTATAAAATTCTGGTTCTAACCGATACTTTTTGACTCGTTCGAAATACCTTCAACTGGGCCAAAAACGAGCAAACATTTTGTCCGAAAACTTTCGATCTACCCATTATTTCTGCATTGTGAACAGAAATTTTTTTCTTTTCTTTTATTGTCGCCTTATTCATTTTTTGCCTTATTGGTATTTGTTCGTTATGCATCTTTGTCGTATTTTTTCCTCTTAATTTAATTTTATTATATATTAGTCTAACCATTGATTTAAGTGACAAATAAGCCTGTTGTACATATCCCTTATATCTACAGTAGATTTCAATACACCACTCTAAATGTATCTCGATAAACGCAGAACCACTTATATTGATTATTTCTCAAGGTTGCAACTAGAGGTGTAAGCCGAAGGGTCAAATGGCGGTGGCTGTTTTAATGGTCCAATTTTTTTTCCATGGCGGCGGCGCCTACTAGACTCTATGCTTTTCTACACCGGCGGCGGCGGCTACTATACTTTATGTTTTTCTGCACCGGCGGTGGCTTTTATAACCAAAAAAAAAACCAAAAAAAAAACGTTTTTGCTCCTAAGAATGCCAGTGGCAGTGGCGCATGGTACTATTATCAAAAATTTTCGTTCGTGGTGGCGGCTCAACGGCTGAACTAACTTTTTCACAGTAGCGGCGGCTAAAAAATTCGTAAAACTATCTCCGATTTCGTGGCAGCAGCGGCGGAGGCGCAGCTGGATGGCTTACGCCTCTAGTTGTAACTTGATCTATTCACGCTTTTTATACTGATCATATGACAACTGTGGCTTATCATTGTATTGTATTCATCATCTTTGGCATCTCTCATATATTGGTTTGTCTGCACAGAAATAAAGATTTTGCACTATTTCAAACATCCACAAATATATTCTGTCCATTCAGATTTCGAGGAACACCCAAGAGTGTTTTAGTATTTTTTTTGAAAACAGTCGAAGTCCTTTTATTAATATTGTTCATTGTCTTGCCCGTCGCTATGGAACTCTGAGAGAAAATTCGAGTGTCTGTTGTTCTGGCCTGCTATGGAAACGTATTCCATGATCTTTGGCGTTTTCTGCGCCGGTTGCTAAGGCCTAAGAAATGATAAGGGAAGGTACGAAAACCTCGATTTAAACTTACAAGTTACTCTTTTCTTCGAAAGTATATGTTTTGCACTAAAGTGTTATAAGCAGTTACAAAGTTAAATGTTTTTATACAATACTTACTGTAATATTGCTATTTCTATCGATTCCAATATTCGTTGGTTTTAAATCCTATTTTAATAGAATAAATAAAAAAGCTTCTTAATATAAGAGAATGCATTGGTTGCACATACACGATGGAGAATATCAGCTGAATGAATAAACTAGATAACAAAGAAAGAAAGAAAGAGAACAATATTGGATTTAATAAATAGTGAAGAAAAAATTCATAATACCTTCAAACCACGAATAATTGAATAGATAATTAGTCTAATAAGGTCTTCTGTAAGTGATACACGTTGTAATATAATTCGATTCAAGTCACTGTCAACATAATTTAATACTAAATATCTGTTGATATAGAAAAAAGGGACTAAAAATCTTCATGCAACAAAGATACTTTTACAACATACAATGTTCGAAATTCGTTTAAATTTTTTTCAGGTGTAAATACATTATATAATTGTACAACCTAAAGTAGGAAAAAATACAGATGATTGCTAATGAATCTAAAACGATCATTTCTACAAACTTGTGCATCAGGATGATTGAGATACATAAGTAGTTCAAGTTCTCGATAAGTTCGTTTTGCATGTGTATCAGTTTGAAAAGGATGGAGAAGTTTTTTAATAGCTACATATTTACCTGTTGTCTAAAATACAATTGTGTATATATTCATATAAATTTCTTTTTCACCATATATCATAATAATACATACTGTATCAGTGGCTCGACTACATAAAAATCCAATTATTAACAAAAGAAAATGGAATAAATATTTCTACTTACACTACTATACCATATGTTCCTTGTCCAATAAAAATTAAATCTTGATACCGTACAGGTAGTATAAATATAGAATGACCACAAGAAGTTGTATACCATTCATTTTGTTCGCTACTATTCGAAGCCATATTTAGTTTGCTAAATTAAAAAAAACGGAAATCTACTGAGTGCTTTATCATGTTGAAAATAGAATGTCGTCGTATATGTTTCAAGAAGAATACAGGAAAGGTAAAAAGTAATAGCATGAAACGATAAATATTAATTGACAGATATTTATAAACGAACAAAAAAAAACAACCGAAAAAAGTAATTATACTATTCAATTGGATATATTCGGGTGTGTTTACTATACAATATTAAATAAAAAAAAGAATTGGTAGATTACACTCTCGCAGTTACAATTCTGACTAAAAATAGTCGATATTTTTTCTTGACTCTGTTCAGAATGTTGCTATCGATGAAGGTAATGTTGATTTACTTTGATAAAAGTAATAAAATAACAACTTTTTCATAGGTTTAACAAAGTTAGCTGTTTTGTTTTTGTTTCGTCCAGTTCGGAAAATGAATCGATATTGTTCGTCGTGAAGAAAAGGATACACTCATGAACATTGAAATAATGTTGTTTCTCTAATTTATTAAATAGTTGTTTTGTTGTACTGAAATGTCAATCGAAGAAGTAATAAAATAAGATGAAAAGTAGATAAAAGGTGGAAGGCACGTGGTAGACAAGGCCGATTTTTTTTTCATGCTCTTTCTTGCTGAGCTTCCTATCATAAAAACACGATCGACAGAAAGTAGAACAGCGAGATAAATAAGCAAGGGAGGCAGCTAGGATGGTTTGAGCTATAAAGGTATGACTGTTATTTTTCTATTATCAATCCTTACATATACAGTAGCGGACAAAAGTCTCTACCCACCCAAATCTCAGTTATCACAGGTACTGGAGGTCTGAAAATTTGTGTACATACAATCTACCAAGAATGGAGATCAGAGCCATGTACTCAACCTGATTGCTTAAATAAAGCAATAATTACAATGAGCGGTGCCGCCTTTTTTATTGCAAGGGTTTTGACAGAAAAAAGCTGCTTACTAAATTTTGCGTTGCTTTTTCTCAAATACATCATTAATTCTTGATATTTTACTATATAATCGAAGCACAGTGTAAGATCTTTTTTCACTCAAAAGACCATGCTATTCAGTGCAAGATTACTGTCTTTAGACATCTCTGAGTCCTTGGCATCAACACGACAATACATGGTACACTATTTCTCTTTGGAAGATGCTTATTTCGTGAGACTTGCAGGCAATAATGTTCAGCTACCAGTGAAGCTTCTTTCAAAGTTTGAGCTCGATTTATTTTAGAATTATTCAGTTATGCGGTACAAACTACAAAAGGGAGTTTTTCGAATTTCGAATAGTCACAGTAAAGTGTCCGTGGTTCTGGTAAGCATTTATGGATTTCGATGAAATTAATAGCGTCGGTAGCTAGAGTAAAGCCGTGAATAATGAAGAATCAAGTGACCCGTAATACCTTTTCTTTTCCGAAATATGAAGTTCAAAGAAAAAAATAAGTGCCATTCATTACCATCCGTCATAGTTCTCGCAGTATCTTAGCAATCAGAACAAGCTCATAGCTCTGACCTGCATTCTGGGTGGATTATATGCACACAAATTTTCAGACCTCCGGTGTCTATGCTAGCTAAGATCTGGGTGGATGGAGACTTTTATCCGATACTGTAGATCAACTGAACAGTAGTATGATTTTGAAAGAAAAGATTTCGCTGAATCTTTGTTGATAAATGAAAAGGAAATTTCACTAATATAGCAGTGATAATAGAAAATCGAATAGCAATAATGATAATGCAATATTAAAGATGACATTGAAGAAGTTGGCTACATGGTATTTTCTGCTGTTAGCAGAAAAAAATTTGTACCGTAAGAAATGAGAACTCAGTTCTTTGACCATATCTACACATAAGGTGAAAACTCTCTAGCTCCGACCTGATTATGCCACTAATAGTATTGTTATGAAACAAGTGTTTTACCTAGATTTTCTCTTTCAGAGAAGAAAATTTCAGCCTCCGAAAGAGCGAACATGCATTTTGTTTAACATACAGACGCGTAGTACAGTAAGCATAAAGTTCGAGAAACTTAGTGCAATATTTGGAGGAGCCCCGTGCTCTCGGCTCTCACACTAAATAATACACAATAAGTTTTCCTTTAATACATATGCAAAAATGAATACTTATTTTATGTTAACTTATTCGAGTTAGTTCATTAATCGATTCTTTTACTCATGTTTAATTATATACTATTATTTACTATTGTTTCCTTCCGAAAAATGGTATGTCTACAAAAGCAAGTATAACATAAAATAGTCAGTTAGGAGTGATGTATTATGCAATGGTTCATTCATAAAGATGTATATAGAAGAAAAAATATTGTCGGCAGAAAAATTAAACCATGTTTTTTGTACTACATATTCAGATGACAAAGGTTTGATAAGAATAAAAATATTTAGAGAATTACAACTTTGATGGGTTTCCAACGTCATCATCTGTTTAATGAATATATGCCATCAAAGATTTTACCACGCATATATTTTTCAGGGCACATTTTTACATAATATCTTTTGTCGTAAAGGTTGATTAGAAGCTGCTGAAGAATACTTTTCTCAATGCCATAATCTTGATTAAATTATCTTAAATAGCTTTTTTGTGTTAATTACGATAATATCTATATTTTTTTCAAGATCATTACTTTTAACTCTGTTGTGTAACAGTCAGTGGATGCATCGAAATATGCTCTACAAAATATTATAAATAGGAGTCGTTCGAAAATCAAGTGATTACTTTTTTGGTCATTTCGAATCTCCTCAGATGATCACGTGATTTGGAACAGGATCGCGCTTCTTCCTAAATGCCACATTTTTTTTCAAATCAGATTTTTTTTCAAATTGTTTATTTTTATTATTTGTGGGCTTTTCGAAGTTCATTTCAAAAATCAAAGATTTCAATTTGTAAAAAAGCAAAATTAGTTGTTCGAGATACTTTCTTTAAAACATGAGCAACATCCAGATGAAATTGTGTGCTTACCCATCATTTTTTTTTTATCTCTCGAAGACTTTTGAGCACGAGTATCATTTTGACTATGTTTTAGTTGATTTATTTTTAAGTTCTTTTATTTGAGTTATATACGTAGGGCGTTCACAAAGTTCTCGGACTAATTTTATTTAAAAACAACAAAACATGTTACAGCTATAAATATATGTTCTCTTTTTCTGTGTAGTATTCTTCTGCTGGGACACATTTTTGTCAACGTTCTGCAAACTTTTGTATAAATGCTGTAAAGATATCTCTAGATAGACGGTTCAGACACTGATCTAGTGCCGAATCTAATGAACTTCGGTCATTGTAGTGCTTTTCTTCGAGATGATCTTTTAAAGCTCGGAAAAGGAAATCATTACGGAGATCTAGATCTAACGAATAAGACGGACGACGAAGCAATTGGTATTTTAAATCGTAAATAGTAGAAGAAGTAAGATATGATACATTTGCTGGAGCATTACTATGTTGAAAAATGGCGTCAGTTAAAATCGAATCTTGTCATTTGTTTTCTAATTCTCTGAATGAAGTTCATTTACCAAAATATTTGCATAATATACCTTCTTTATTGTCACATCCATTGGTGCAGACTATCTGAAAATTATCCTATTATGATCGCAGAAAAACGAAAATCCAACTTTGTTAGCTGACTTTTCTTGCTTCAGTTTTGCTGATGGTGGTAAACTAAGTCGTTGGTACTGTTTTGATGATTGTTTTCATACAGGTTCATAAAAATAAAATCACAACTCATCGCTTGTTATAATTCGAAAAAGAAAGTGGTTTCTTTCAATAGAATAGCGAATCAAAAGTTCTTGACATGTTTGGACATGCTCATAGCGCTGAGCAAGTGTTTGCAAATATCGCACCTGTCTTGACCAAACCTTAGTTATATATAATTGATCATGTAAATTGCCATGTACTATGCCAGTTGAAATGCTTGAAGTGTTCGTTATTGACTGAGTTATGATTTGACGATCTTGGATCATAAAACTTTCAACAGCTTTAATAATTTTGTCGCTTGTTGCAATAACTGGCCCTCAACATCTTGGTCTATAATCAATATTGAATTGTCCATCTCTAAAACGACGAATTCATTCAAAAACCATGGTACGTAATTGAGCATGGTTATCGTAAGCTGCTACTAAAGGTTCATAAATATTAGACAGAGATTGACTTTCGACAACAAGAAGCTTTACTACTGAGCGATGCTTAATTTTTTTTTTATTCTGCATCAGTGAATATAACGTGAGATAGAAAAGATTGTTATATTAGCAAACAAGTCCTTCATTGATTCAGAGTTCTTGATGTTTATAAATAGAAAAGCTGTATGAACTATACACGAATAACGATCTAAGTACAGGAACGCCTCTTGTCGTTTGTAAATAGAGTTAGTCTGGGAAATTTTTGAACTCCCTACGTATTCAACTGTTTTTCATTTTTATCTATTAATAAAATTCGTTTTTCCAAGTTGATGAAATGATGTCACACCTTCATTGATCTCATTTAAATTATGACGTGCTCATTGTTATACAATGCCACATAAACAAGTATGTACCACCTTTTCTAGTTCGATGATTGTCTGTGATAATTTCATTGTTGGATTATTATCAGCATCGTTTGTAATAATAATAGAATTGGTTGTTGTTGTAGAAGAATTATATCATCAACATTTGTAGATAAATTAACATTTGATTTTATTCTAATTAATAAGGTATTTTTCGCTAAATTATTGTATTTTTTCGTAGAATATGTTCCCATTTCTTTTGCTGAATCAGTTAATTGTTCTTTTTTCTTACTTTTTGTTTCCATTTAGTAAGTGTTCCAGAATTGTGTAACTGTTTTCTATCTAACACTGAGACATCCATGTCTATAACTTGTTCCTTCACTGAATCACGAATCCATGGTGGAACTTCATTAGCATACTTAGCACTATCGTTCCTGATATTTTTGTTCTTGACCAATACGATTTCACCTAAAAAGATCACCTTGAAATTGAGTAATAAAATGTATTGTTATATCTATTG